CAAGACGTCATATATTTGGACGTGTCTTTGCATAAGAGTCTTTGTTGGCTGTAGTTTTGAAGTTGATCAAAGCTCTCAAAATAACCCAAATGCTGGCTTGAAAACGTGTACACAGTCAAGGGGCTGAAATAAATATTGAAAAAACAAGAGTAAATCACATGACGACGTCATCATGACGTCACTTATTTAGAATAATATCTGTATCAAGGTCTTTGTTGGCTGTTACTTTGAAAACGATCAAACATCCGAAAGAGTTTAAAATTGTGCCTTGAAAACGTGTACAAATTCAATGGGCTATAAACTTGTTTGCAGAAACACTGCTCCTTTAAGTTCATTTCACGTGATTTGCGCTTAAACTGAACAATTTTTATGAAATATTACTTCATATTCGGACTCTTAGGCATATTTCAAATAAAATAACAAAGCGTAAAGTACCCGATTTCTCCTTTGTTCTGATAGTAATCTTGCGCCGAAGTTAAAGACTACTTGTTCACTTGTGACAAGTAGAAAAACGTGTACAAAATGTATGGGCATATATAAAATATTCAACAATGAATATAAAAGAAGGTGATGATGTCATCATGACGTCATCCCTTTGCAATAAATCTTGCATCGGGGTCTTTGTTGGCTATCACTTTGGGAACGATCAAAGACTGCAAAGTTACCAAAATTGTCGCTGACAAACGTGTACAAAGTCAATGGGCTATAAACTTGCTTGCAGAAACACTGATTCTTTAAGTTCGTGTCACGTGATTTGTGCTTAAACTGAATAATTTTTATGAAATATTACTTCATATTCGGACTCTTAGCCATATTTTAAATACAATAACGCAGCGTAAAGTACCCGATTTCCCCTTTGTTCTTACAGTAATCCTGCGCCGAAGTTAAAGACTACTTGTTCACTTGTGTTAAGTAGAAAAACGTGTACAAAATGTATGGGCAAATATAAAATATTCAACAATGAATATAAAATAAGGTGATGATGTCATCATGAAGTCACCCTTTGCAATAATTCTTGCATCGGAGTCTTTGTTGGTTATCACTTTGGGAAAATAACAGAGCGTAAAGTACCCGATTTCCCCTTTGTTCTTATAGTAATCTTGCGCCAAAGTTAAAGACTACTTGTTCACTTGTGTTAAGTAGTAAAACGTGTACAAAACCTATTGCGAATAATTGATTGATCCATGGTTCAATATATGACAGATTGTTGAAAATTGAAAGCCCATGGTGTAACCGTAATTCTGCAATAGCGCCCTCATAGCCTGATATAGGACAGTCCGAAAACTGTGTGCAATCCGTGTACAAAGTCTATGGGGAAAAATTAATTCTTAAAAACCAATAACAAATAAACTACGTAAGTTATCAATCTGAATTTCTTTTAGGACCGTCCTTGGGTGATGGTTCAAAGGTCTGCCAAGTTTGAAGTCGACCAGGTTTAGTAAACTGCCAAAGTCGACTGGTGGAAGGAATTGAGTTGAAAAAGAAAAAAAATTAATGTTCAAAAATCAATAATAAATCATTTGACGACGTCATCATGACGTCACTGCTTCAGTATGACTTCTTTATTCGGGCCAACCCATGATGTAACTTAAATGAAGATTGAACTACCTTAAGTGTTCAAAATTAAGCATTGAAAGTTGTGTGCAAAGTGTATGGGGAAAATAATCTGTGTGCAAAGTCTATGGGGAAAAATTAGTTATTCAAAAATCAATAATAAATACATTGATCACGTTATCATTCTGAATTTCTTCTGGGACAATGTTTGGATGATCACACAACTATCCTCCGAGTTTGAAATTGTTCTGATTTTCCTAGGTGCCGAAGTGTAGGGGTAGAAGAACTTGACTGTAGAAGAAGAAGAAAAAAAGGAAAAAACTAGAACGATTACAATACCTGGTTCGGCTGAACTGCCGAACAAGCTAAAAAAAGAATCAGAAGAACAATTCTTGTTTCGGCAAAGTTGCCGAAACAGCTAAATAATCAGAAGAACAATACCTGTTTCGGCAAGGTTGCCGAAGCAGTTAAAAAGAAAAAAACTAGAGAAAAGTGTTTGTAAACAAGCACAAACACAGAGCTGTTTCGGGACTTTTTTACCAACAAAATAAGTATTAGCAAATGTGATGAAAAAACCTGGCATTAAGAAGCTATTAGAGAGTAAAAATGATGAAATCAAGACTACATTTTATCCTGGCACTTGCTGCAAACAGAATGTTGCAGAGGGCACGGTTGATTTTATATGGGTTTTTATACATTTAAAGGAATATTCCAAATTTAATAATACATCAAGTGATGACGTCATCATGACGTAAATATTTTAGATTTATCTTCGTTGTATAGTTAGTGCTTGCTGTAAGTTTGACGATGATCAACGATTACTAAGGTACGAAAATAGTGCCTCGAAAACGAGTACAATGTCAAGGGGCTGAAATTAATACTGAAAAATTAATAATAGTTCACATGATGACGTCATCAATACGTCATAAATTTGGACGGGTCTTTGTATAAGGGTCTTTGTTGCCTGTAACTTTGAAGTTGATCAAAGCTCTCAAACTAACCCCAATGCTGGCTTGAAAACGTGTACAAAGTCAAGGGGCTGAAATATATATTGAAAAAACAAGAGTAAATCACATGATGACGTAATCTTGACGTCATTTATTTCGAATAATTTCTGTATCAAGGTCTTTGTTGGCTTTTACTTTGAAAACGATCAAACATCCGAAAGGGTTCAAAATTGTGCCTTGAAAACGTGTACAAAGTTAATGGGCAAAAAACCTCATTTGGAGAAACACTGCTCCTTTAAGTTCGTGTCAGGTGATATGCGCTTAAACTGAACAATTTTTATGAAATATTACTTCATATTCGGACTCTTAGGCATATTTCAAATAAAATAACAAAGCGCAAAGTATCTGATTTCTCCTTCGTTCTTATAGTAATCTTGCGCCGAAGTTAAAGCCTCCTTGTTCACTTGTGATAAGTAGACAAACGTGTACAAAACCTATGGGGGAAAATTAAATATTCAAAAATGAATATAAAATAAGGTGATGATGTCATCATGACGTCATCCCTTTGCAATAAATCTTGCATCAGGGTCTTTGTTGGTTATCACTTTGGGAACGATCAAACACTGCAAAATCAGTAAAACAATACCTGTTTCGGCAAAGTTGCCGAAACAGCTAAAAAAAATTATAATAATAATCCGAAAAACAATACCTGTTTCGGCAAAGTTGCTGAAACAGCGAAAAATACGTGACAGACACTTTATTAATTCACAATCACATGATGCAGACCCAAAGAGGCGGACATAATGGGCCTGCGGACACAATGGGTCGGACATAATGGGCCTGCGGACACAAAAGGGCGGATATAATGGGCCTGCGGACACGATGGGGCGGACAGAATGGGCCTGCAGACACAGTGGGGAGGACACAATGGGCCATGCGGACATAATGGTCCGGAACACACGTAAAGCATTGCCAACCAATTACCAACGCTAGACCCAAGTAGCACTGCACATCTCAATATAGCACTGCCTAAACAACATCGCATTGCATAGCCCAGTGTCACTATAGCGATATCGCCCGCATGCAGTAAAGGTGCACCCTCACAGAAAGGCCCAAAATATGTCTGCCGAGCTCATTGATAAAAGTTATGCACGCAAAATATTCTATATTAGAGAGTCCTGAGAGCCATGAAATCGAGGAATTGGTGAAATATGGCACTGAACCCCTGGCCCGGACTTTGGGCTTCCAATTTTGAGCATTTTTGATGCAGTCGGGTCCGAAAGTGGCACTATTTGGGCGTTTTGCATAGGGATGGTTTTTCAAAATGACTACTTTTCTGGGCAGGGACATTTTCTTCATTTTAGAGGTGGTCTGCCCCTCAAAAATTCATCGGTCAACCCACCAAAATTGAAAGGAAAATGAAAGGGGACGTGTCGATCATCGTTTTTCTGTGCAGCCTGGACACCAGTGAGAGTTGTGAGTATTTTTTAAAATAGTTGTGAAGTATGGGGATTTATCATTGCTCTCTTTGGGAATTTATTTGTTGTGGTGCACCCCTAAGCACTACGGCACCGTGGGCCCAGCTCAAATCTACTGGTTTGCCCGCGCCTAACATATAGCAGCATACGCAACGCCCTATATACCCACACACCACCGCGAGAGCACACATACAAACTCACCAAGAACTCACAGTCTACACAGCTTCGCTGAACTAGCAGAAACCCTATACTGAACCTCCATTCTGACGTTACAGGACATGTACACACTACTACACTTGTCCTCATTATTATGCACAACAAAAGTTTCGGAAGTTTGTACACTTTCCCCTACAATAACAATAGTGTAAATTCAAAATTAAATTGCGCATTTGAGTCCTACCAAAGTTTGGTCCGAACATTTTAGACCGTTTCTGTCCTCAGGATAAACATTTAAATCAATTTACTCACTTTAATGTGTGTTTCTAATAATCAAAGTATCGGGGAACAATATATTACAGAAAGATTCGTTACAGGTCGAATGGTGATGTAAGACTGGTTGAGAGTTTAATTAAAACATTGCAAGGGAGAAATTGCATGGGAAAGACGGACCAAACTATCTCGTTTTCACTTAACTGAACAATGTTAATCTTACAGAATTGACTTTCCGTTTATACCACAAATTTATCCCCTCCTACTGACCAATTCATTTCGCTTTGTTTGTTTTTCCTAGTACTGAGAGGTTGTGTACCATGCGTTTCCATAATGTGCATATTCGGTCCGATACTGGAATTTCTTATGCACATTCGTTTAGCGTTTTTACTGGTGTACATTTGGATGGGCACTCCCTACGGCTTAGGTAAACGGATCCTTTCTTTTTATTTATCCTTTCTTTTTTAGGCCAAGGGAGGTTTTGAAAATCCCAGCCCCGCCCCGCACCACTGAACAAGTTAAATGATTTGCTACTGCAAAGGTACTAAAGGCTTACCTTTCACATCTTCCACAACTAAACAGAGTTTCTCTACGACTTCTAGCTGCAAAGAAAATACGGAAGGAATCATATTAAACTGACTATTGAATGACGCATTTGTGCTCTCTAAATGCAGAACAACAAGCTCGCTCTCCAAAAGAATCATTTCCTTGAATGCAATTTCCATCCTTTCAACGAACCATCCGTTTGAGCAATGAAAAGAGCATATTTCAACTATGAAAAGATCAGTTTACACCGTAAAACAATCAATAAACAATGAAAGGAGTAAAAGAGTAATAAAACGAGTAAAAAAGAGCAATACATGAAGCAGTTTTAGCAATAAAAAGACCAATTTAAACAATAAAACAATAAAAATAGACAATGAAATATGCAAATCAGAAGCAGTAAATACGTGTATATTTAAGATATAAGGAACGATTTCATTTGTTTCGTGTCATTTAAAGGTCATCCTTTGCTAGGTCAACATGAATGGTATTTATGCAGCCAAGCCCTATGCTTATCACCAGTGTGACAAATGCTTCGGACGGAAGTTTAATCTAGAGAGGCAATTGGAAAAGATCCACGTTGAGGAGGAATCAGACATGAATGAAGTTGACGGAAACTCGGATTCTAGTGAGGAGGTCGATGACAAAACCTCGGATGAAGACAGTTCAGATTTGGAAGACAATGCCACCTACCAAGATTGGCTGGCTGAAGCTAGAGAAACAAATAAGGGGATGAGGGATGAAAAATATGACAAGTACGTCAACGAAGGTATGGAATGAAGATCAAGCCAGGCAGAAGGCAAACAGAAAGACCCTATGGGTAGTCAAACAAGACTTTTTTGACAACTATAAGGAGTTCCTGTCAAGTTACCTATATTTGAGGGAAAATGAAACTCACAAGGACATTGTGGATGATCTCGATGGAAAACATGATAAAGGCACGAACGTCAACAAAGCTTTGAATAGTTTTGCCTAAACATGCTGAAAAATTTGCCAGAGTGTTTCATGACGAAGAGGAGCATGCCTAACAGATAACAATCTGTAGAGACAAATGGTTCCAAAAAGAATGAGTACATGTAATGCCTCTGATTGCATAGTTAACAGACCTCCAGTAATCACCCTTGTAGTAATTCTTAAAATTATTAAGATAATTATTGTAAAAAATCAATGATGAACAACGGGAAATAAAACAGTACCAGTACCAGCCTACCAGAAACCAATATGTGAAGTCCACTGAATTTGTTTTGTGTTCTTACTTACCGGTATGACTATCGAATAATAATTCGCAGGTCGGATATCGGCCGGAACTTCTGCACAATATTCCACGGCACGACGAATAAAACCCCCAACTGACGTCATGCCGCCCCCCAAGAACTCTTAATTTCAAGTTATGCTGCATTTTATATTTAGGTTTCACAATAAAGAACAACAGTTACGCTCCGCTCTGACTGAATTTGTAAAACGTAAACATGTACAGGATATTAACCGCCGTAAAATTTTCAAAATTCTGCCAGATCCCAAACCATATACATTCACAGGGTAACCGACGTCAAACACTCTCGTTCAAAGGAGTAAAAATTCAGCTAGGGACAACAGAGTCTTCTTCCCGTATCGATCAAATCTTGGTAGCCATAGTAAGCTAAACACAAGACCGTTAGCACGTGGGCACTCTCTCTCCTTTGGTGTCCAAAGGTTAAGTCGGACCAACGCTCACTTCCAACGTACACAATGTAATCATTAACACAATAGTCCACCGACACAACTCACCCACTATGTACAGTCCATTGTCTAGGGATTATCCCTCTCATAACCCGGCGGCACGAGCTGTCAATTGTGTAGAGATTATCGCGTCCTACTCCTTAATTACCTTAGGATCTCCTGGTGGGTCAGGACCTCCCGGTCAGTATGTCTCATCCTCTTTCATCATATTATGCCATAATTTCACAAGCAAGGTCAAATTGTGCCAAACATGAACTTTTCATCTATTCTAGTTTATTTCAAAAGGAATCCACCATGCATATGCACGTCCAAATAAACACAAGTACATAAATACTACCATAGCATTTTGTATATTTTATTCCCACGCCCCGTACCGTCTTGTATTGTTGACATAAAGTTGAAAATATAATACGTAAGCCTATACAGCAAAATAAAAGAATTCAAAAGAACAATTTAATTAATCATAAGTACATCCCTCACTTATTGAACACCCCTACTAGACATGGTAAGGACCGGCTCCTCAAATTATGCAAATCAGGCGGTCAATCAGCAGAATCCAGCGTTCTGATTGGTCGAGAGACTCGAGAAAACCAAGAAAAGGGTGTGGTTTTCTCTATACAGACGGGGTGCACTACTCTGCATGTAAAGTGTTAGAGGTGTTTTATTAAGTCGCGCCCGGACACTAAGCTCGAAGCTTGTACTATTACCATACCAGGGCAAGGTGGTATCTAAAATGTCTGTTGTTAGACAACTTGACGTCTCTATCTTGTGTTGTCTGTGAAGCTCTCCTAGCGGCTGCAGTTGGTGAAGTACTGATTTCTGATGCATTATGCTGACACATGGCTTTCTTTGAAAACAGTATACACCAAAAAACGTGTGATTTCAACTACATTCAACAACGCGCGTTGTGGGTTCGTTTTTCGAAGGTTCATTTAACTGTCATTAATTCAGTTTGGGAGAAACGAAGAAAAAGTGGAGATTCTTTAATTCAAACGGGCGATGGGCGCAAAGGCTGTCCGACTTCAACAACGTCCTTCCCTCCATTGTTGTCCATCGTACGAGAGAGCAAAAATTGTCACTGATGCTTTGGAGTCGTAAAACGAATTCGATCTATTGCCCTGCGTTGACTACCTATATTTGGATGTACATCTGCATGTACATAAAATGCTTTTAATTTTGACCCAAGCCGGTAATTGTTCAGTTTTTCGACTGGGTGTACAGCTATTTTTATTTCATCACACCTACGGTGCAGGCACATTATAGGATCCAGGAAATGAATTTTTCTAAGAATCACTTTTTGTGTGTCTCTGTACTCTTTTTAGGCCTATGAAGACTGTTTGACATCTTATTTGAATTATGCGAACTGAACGGTGCACTTTTTCAAACATTAAAAATTGACCAAGCATTTCTGGATAAACGAGGGCGCTTTTGCTTTGATGTAAATCCAGGAAGATATGGTTCAGGTTACATGTTTTCATGTTCAAATTGTGAACCCCAAATTTGCTATCTGGGAACCTTTCTGTGAACAGGATTTTTGCTGGATTATTGTCATGTACTTACACAGCAATATACTGCTAAAGAAAATGAAATCTGCCACCAGCAGTGGTTAAAGGAGTCTAGAAATTTTCTGTGCACAAATCAGTGCAACATTGAGATTCAGTTCCTTGGATGACATCATAATTCTGCTCATGAATATGCAAATATGTATTAGCATAAAAACCAAAAAAGCATCAAAATGTGGGTTTAAATGAAAAACTAAACTTTTCAATCATGTTACTTCATACCCAAAGATGCAATCTCAAGGTTGTTCGTAAAATTTATACAAATATTTCTATTTCCTGGTTCCTTTAATCAACACGGAAAGACTTGCTGTCAGCACCGTTGGGACCGTCACTGCCTTCATGCTCTGGAAATATGCTATAGTTTCAAATTATCAAAATGCTATTGATTTGGACTTTTTTATTTTTATTAAATTTTTTGCTATTATTATCATAATTTCTGGTAATTACTCTGAAGATTCCTCAAAAGCGCCCTAGGCACTCAAGCTCGCAAGCCTGAAGAATCCTGGAGAGAGGAGACAATCAGAAGCAGTCACAGTTTCGGACGACCGACAAGCAAGTTTGGCGAGCAGTTACTCTGAGGACTTCAATTTATGCACCTGTCTTTTCAAATGAAGACCGCGTTAACATCATTGGAATTACACGCTTGAAGCATCGAAATCCCTCAGTCAACGGAGGAAATCGTTTCATTTGGAAAATACATGCATTTCGAATGTTATTTGGGAAGTATTGATGGGTTTGGTTTGTGAACGATCAACATGAAACACAAAATATTAGCGTGGAAAATCGAAAAATCAGAGAGAACGTCCTTGTTAAAAACGTAACGGTGTATTGTTAAGGGTCGTCCTCGTTGTGCTCAGTGTTGCATCTGCAATTTCTGTGTTTAAGGAGTTGGTTTTGATCTGTCAGTTCTTAAGGATAAAAAGTACAGTTTATAACAGTATATAACATTCTTGAGCATTGTCGATACTTTTCTGAATAGGATGGTTTCATCCGATTGCATTCCTGGCAAAAAGTAAAGAACAATTAGTGCTGGAAACATAAAACCAAGAAGACTCGCATTATGCCTGTAGGCCTTTAATTTTCAACGGCTGCACTCAAAATTAAAACATTTTTCTTTTTCATTATACCTTTTCTGGCCCGTAGTAGAAGACACCACTCCAATCAACCAGGTGGTGAGGGGCACAGGTCGCGGTAGCTACGTTCAACTCACAAAGACTCGGCACCGTCCCGTCCGAAAAATTGACAGAGAAGCAACGGGGATCTGAATGGCACTCATGGACACACCGAATCCTTGAAGTCCCCTCCATGAGGCGGTATCCGTGTCCCGTCAAGTTCCGATCGGCGATGCCATAGAAATTACGATGCAGCCGGTCTGTTGTGAGTCCAGGGACGCAGGAGCGGTTCTCGTGAGGGTCCCCACACGGCGTACAAGCGGTCAAACACAGCACTATCATAGGAACAACAGCCATCTTCGACGCGTGTCTGCTAATGTATGTTGTGGGGGCGGGGGATTAACGCATTTCTGCACGTCATGTGTTTGCTCGAAGACTGAATCTAACTGTTATTGATATTTTACACCATCGGTGTTCAAGACGAAGAGATGATGACGACATGGGGCGTGGCGATATTCAAAGGTCAGCTTGGACAGTGTATTTATTATACACGATCCTGTAGATGCTGATGGAGGCAAAGGGATAGAGTGAGCCCATTATTACTTATTTCTCAAGCTCGTCGAGTCACAGACATATGATATACAAAAATACCTTTTCAATATTTAAACTATTATTTGCGTAGCTTCCGAGAACTAAACGGTCTTTTTAAAAGGGTGGCAGTCTTTGGGCTCAGGAATGGATTGTGATTTATCATCTATGAGTGATGATTAGTTTGGTGAGAGGGCTGATTTGCTAACACTATTTCACCGAAATCCATGATCGTAGTAAGACAGAAACCCAATTTCCTATTTCTGGTAAGCATTTCAATTGGATTGTTGTGAGAAACGTTAGTCCAAATCGCAACACCTTCATTCAATTTCAAAGTCACGGTTGAAAAGTCGATTTTAACGTTAAGTAATTTTTTAATTTGTCTAATGCAAGCATGACTTCACATCAAGGTTCTGCTAGCACAAGATTTCACGGCAATATCCTGAACTTTATTGCTATGACGGTTTTGAAAATGTAAAATTTGCCTAAAATTTGATCCTTAATTCATTCCAAAAGTGAAGTTCAAGCGACTTGAGACTTCCAATTAAATTGTTGCCCTATACGCGGTCTGCTAGATTCCAAAATGTGAGCTCTATTTCCTTCTCAGTTGATGAGATGATAGAAATTTATCACATATCAAATAACGAACAATAATTGAACATTATAATTGTTTCGTCCAAAACCCATATAAAATTGACTTTGAGAATACTTTATAATTTAGAAATGCATTATTATTATTAGAAATGCATAAAAGATATGAACTTGCTTCCAACAATTTTAGTTCCCGGTAAGAAAGTACTATTCAAGTTGGCACCGGTGACGTTATAAATAGTCAGTTTCCCTCTAGAAGTAGGATGAAACGTTTTGGAAGTAGATCTTCAGTTGATACGTGTGACGAAATTTATTCTTAAAGTAGTCAATATGATGGCCTTTATTCTAAAAAAGTATTAGGAATCAAGCCGATGACGTCATTAGATCTTAAAGACTTAATGATAAACATGGGTTTCCAGATTGTTTGCGTTGACCCCATGACAACATCATCCCGTAGAAATAACAAGCAATTAAACATTAATCGACCCATAAAAAACTTGTTTATTACCGAAATAAGGTCAGTGTTAATAGATCTTTACTTCTGTTGTATATAAATGTAAAATCGTTTGAAGTTTATTATAAAGCCATGATGATAAATTTGCTGAAAGTTGTGAACTTTTTTTCAACGATATTGGACTCCGGTTAATAGTTAATCAGCCCTAGCTTTTTGAATTTCGGTGCATAAATTCATCCCAATGACCTCAGACTTCACAGAGCATCCTCAACAGGAAATGTATACTCTATTAGAAAGAAAGATATCTCCACCAAAAATAGAATTACCTCTCTTAGAAATACAGATCTCTCTGCAAACAGATTAAATTTGGATTAAACATAGATACTGAGGTGTGACCACGTAGAGTGCATTCCAGGCTTGCCCTAACGTGGCAATGAGTTTATACTGATGAACCGCTCATCCGCTGGCCGTCCTGGTAGTCAGATAGATAGTAGTTTTGTTCAAGGGAGGAACCAAAACCAAATTTTTGGTTGGACAAAATAGTTCCCCACGGGATGGATGATTTCGTTATATGCATCCTTTCTTTATTTGGGGGGTAAGGTGAAACCTGGGGGCTTTTTACCCGATTTGGGTGGAAGGGAAATAAAATGGTCTAAAAAACAACTCGTCTTTCATAATGGCATGGCCTTCGTTCCCACCCCCGCCATGGAAACTGAACCAAAAAATAGAGACCCCTGTCTTTACAGCGGTAATTTTGAAGTAACGGTCGGCCTTACCGTTATTCAAGCAACATCCTGCACAAAGCACATCGCGTGCCACACACGCAGGGCCCTGAATTCAATAAATTTCGTAGTGGATCTTTTTAATTAAGACGATGTTATGTGCGTTTTTAAAGGTTATTGGCGTCTAGCGTTACTATGGCAACGGCGTGGCTTTTTCACTCAGTTTTCACGGTCATCCAGTTGTAATTTATTACGACAGAATATGTAATAAGCTTGGGTCGATTTCCGCAATCTTTGTGCGTCAAGGATGACGACTGTAAGAGAAGAGAGACTTATTATTTTCATTTATTTGGTATGATAATCAAAAATAATAACCCAAACCCAGTGCCTGCAGTAGATGCAAGGAGAAGAAAAGTCAATGACTCTAGCCTATCGTACAGGCCAACATCCAATACCACAGACATCATATAAAAACATATGACATACTTATACACACGAAGACAAGACATCAATTAAAATGCCAAATATTACAGACAGTTAAACAAAACATTTAAAAACACTAAGAAGTGTACAGTAAAACAAATATAACTGGAAGAACCAGAGCCTTGTTCAATGTGTTTGTCCTATTATGATAATTCTGAACTATGACTTCATCTCGGTGGGAATGGATTGGTCTGAAAAGAAGAGTATCGTCGGCAAATAAAATAGTGTAGTAGAAACCACGTAATGTGGAAGAACATTAATGAACAATAAATTAAAGTGACCCAAGAACGCTGCTCTGGGGGACACCAGACAAAACGGGAAACCAGGAGGAGTAAGAACCTTGAAACAGAACCTTTTGTTGTTTACCAGTGATAAAAGTTCTGAGCCAATGTCAGATATTACCAGATGTGTTATATTGGTGGGCTAATAAAAAGTGGGATGTCATGGGGAAAAATGTCGAATGCCTTTGTAAAGTCTTTAAAAAAATGAATCAAGTCTCGGGTGCGGTGCGTTTGTCAAGAACATTAATTAATAATTTCAAAACTGCACACAATGTACTTATGGTATGTGTGCGTATGTTACGTGCAGTACTGTACCCGGGAGCGGTTTTTGCTCTCCCCCGAGAAGAAAAGACGAAAACAGCCCACTCGGAGATCGAGGCAGAAATCAACATCAGACAGTGAAAGAGCTCATAAGAGCAGAGAAACTGTCCTTTAAATCGCAGTCCCCCGCAAAGGAGAATGTCTCCCGGAACACAAGGATTTTTTTCAAAAGGGCTTTGGGATCCAAAAAAGATTTGTTCCCCGTGGCTTTTTGAGTTTAAAAAGTGGCTGAAGTTAATTTCTATAAAGGATTGATAGCAGGAGAATTCATTTTGACGGCTGCCCTGTGCCTCGGATCCCCTCGATTGCAGACTTCCTTGTAATACCACAAGTTAACCGTTATTTCTTTTTAAACGACAGCCCCGTATCTTTAAAGTTCCTGCTTAATCAGTTTATGGTAGGGCATTAACAAAAGGACCCCAGGTCAACGGAAGGTACCCAAGCCCATGGCAAATGTCCCTGTTCTGGGAGACAATGCCTCTTTTGAGGTTTTTGTGATATACAGGTAATGCGTTGCTGGCGTCTCCAGGGTATCTCAGAGGATGTTCTGTTATAATTTTAATTTACTACAACAAATGCACTTTGTAAAAGGTTTACTCGAGCCTAACCGAGTGAGACAAACTCTTCCCCTCTGAGGACACGTTGACGCATAACCCCGCTTGGGGACAGTCGCCGAGATCTGTGCTCCTTTGCTGTCGGATAGCACGTGGAAACTTTCAGTCACCCTTAAAGTATACTTCTACTAGCGCCAAGATATTGCAATATTTCTGTTTGACCATTCCGAATTTAGTAGAGGGGTTTGTGGTAGTGTACACCATTCAAGGTTATATCTTCCGAATATTTGTGGTTCTGAAAAGAACCGGAGGATTATACTCAACGGTCGGACACTATGCGCTGTCCGTCAGAGCGTAAGCCTACTGTGCAAAACGTTGAGTACCCCTCCGGTTCTTTCCAGAACCACACATACTCGAAAGAGATCTCCTTGCATGGTGCTACTGCAAACCTCTCTCACTTGCCACCTTCATCGTTAAAAGCTTCAATGCTCACTTTCTGTGTTTGTTTTAACACTAACACAGGCCTGGGTTCGCTTTCAGATCCGAAGCCTTGTGAAGAACGTGGGACGGATGGGAGAGATTTCGTTGATGTTGTAGCAAGTTAGGCCTCCTAGCGAGCCTCCCAAGGCCAGGATCACCGACCTTAACATACTGAGGTCCTACATATCTCTGCCTGGGCGCTGTATTGATCGTTTCGGTGGGGGGGCAACCACTTTTTCCAGGGAGGACAAATCCGAGGGAGGCAGAACACGCATCGGCTAAACAGTTTACGACTGAAAGGGTTCAACTGGGGTTTTTTTTCAAAGGCAAATTTGTGGCTTTTGTTCCGTTTCATCTCGTTTTCATTTCTTGTGCTTTCCCCTTTTTTCTCATCGCTGTGTTACTCTTTGCTTTTTTTCCCTGCGCATAATGCTGAAACGAAATAACAATCGAACGTAGAGACGAATGAAAACACTGTGATGACTTTTGGAAGAACTCTTTGCACCCGTATGTATACAAAAGAGAAACAGGTGTCCAGTGCCTTCAGATTTGCTGATTTATTGTCATTCAGATTTAATTCGCATCACATTGATAATCATCCCTGCAGTCGCAGGGGAGGGGGTAACCAATGCTGCACCAGCCGGCGTGGCTTAGGGTTGACAAGACGCCATTAAAAAAATCACCCTCTTCTTCCTCCCCTTCCAAAAAACAACTTCTCCTTCTTCTTCTTTAGCTTAGACGTGTGTCTTTGGAGCTCCGGAGTAAGTTGGGAATTTTGTGTGATTTAGACTTTGTTTGATTATTATTTCCATACCACTGTACTTTATATTGTTTGTAGATATTGCAAGACCGTTTCCAGTCCCTTGGGTGTTTTTAATTTAGTGTATTT